TCCTACTTCTGTGACCGCAGCTTTAATGTTATGATGGGTAGTGCTGCCTCCCCCTCTGCAGCTTTGACTTGTGGTGTACCTCAGGGCTCTATTCCTGGACCCCTTTTATTTATGTTTATGTTTATGTATTTAGCAGACGCTTTTGTCCGAAGCGACTTACAAGTAATAATCGGCATATTGCCCTTGAGGCTAACAACAACAATAACAACAACTTGACATCAATAATGGAGAGGAGGGAACAAAGGAGTGGATGGTAGAGGGGGGGACGGGTGCAGGGAGGGTGCTAGTTTAGAAGATGCTCTCTGAAGAGCAGGGTCTTCAGGAGTTTCTTGGAAATTGAAAAAGAAGCCGCTGTTCTGGTAGTGCTTGGAAGGTCATTCCACATTTGTGGAATGATGCATGAGAAGAGTCTGGATTGTCCTGAGCGTGGTGTAGGCACTGCTAGCCGACGATCCTGTGATGACCGGAGTGGCCGGGACGAGACGTAAGCCTTTGCAAGAGGATTCAGGTAGATTGGAGCTGTACCATCTCTGACTTTGTATGCTAATGTTAGCAATTTGAATTTGATGCGTGTTGCTAGCGGTAGCCAGTGGAGCTCAATGAACAGAGGGGTAGCGTGTGCTCTTTTAGGCTGATTGAAGACCAGATGCTGCGTTCTGCACCATTTGAAGAGGTCTCACCGTACAGACTGGAAGACCAGTTAGAAGGGCATTGCAGTAATCAAGGCGGGAGATGACAGTAGATTGCACCAGAAGCTGGGTGGCATGTTGTGTTAGGTATGGTCTGATCTTTCATACAGATAGATAGAGCTGGGTGTCGTCTGCATAGCAGTGGTAGGAGAAGCCATGTGATAGAATGATCTCACCCAGTGAGGTGGTGTATATGGCAAAGAGAAGAGGTCCTGGTACAGAGCCCTGGGGGACTCCTGTGGCAAGATGGTGCACGGTAGAGGATTGTCCAAGCCAAGATACACTGAATGATCGTCCTGTGAGGTACGATTCAAACCAGGCATGTGCTTTCTCTGTGATGCCCATGCTAGAGAGTGTGGACCAAAGGAAGCCGTGGTTGACAGTGTCAAATGCAGTCAATAAGTTGAGGAGGATAAGCACTGAGGATTTGGCAGTCGCTCTAGCTTCTTTTAAGGATTCTGTCACTGCTAACAGAGCGGTTTCAGTGGACTGGCCCTTTTTGAACCCAGATTGGGGTCAAGCAGACAGTTTTGTGAGAGGTATTCTGTGATCTGCATGAAAGCCACCATTTCAATGATTTTGGACAGATTTAATTTATATATTTTGCCCCTGGGTGACATTTTTAAAAAACACCACATTGACTACCATTTATATGCAGACGATTGCCAATTATATGCCTCTGTGAAGGCTAATGACTCCTTACAGCCCCTTGTTGAATGCCTCAATGATGTGAAGAGCTGTCTGTCTGAAAAATTTCTTTTGCTGAACGATGCCAAGACAGAGGCTATCATTTTCAGCCCTAAGACTTCTCAAAGCCCCCAACTGACCCTTCCTTTTATCACAAGTGGGTTGAAAACCCGTGTCACAAACTTAGGGGTTGTGATGTATGCTAAAATAAAAATGAACATTCATGTCAACCAGGTAGTTAAGACCTGTTTTTACCACTTGAGGCGTCTCTCTAAAGTTAAGCCCATTTTAAAAAGGCGTCATCTCCATTCAGTTGTCCATGCCTTCATTATCTCCTGTCTTGACTACTCTACGCTATATGGTATCTCCTCCTCCACTCTCGCTCTCCTTCAGCTAATGCAGAACGCAGCAGCTCGATTCTTGACTGGCACCAGGCAACGAGAACACATCACACCAGTTTTAGCAAATCTCCATTGGCTCCCCATCCATCTCCTGATAGAGTTTAAGATCCTGGTTTTCGTGTTCAAATTCCTCAATAACTTAGCACCTGGCTACTTGTCTGAGCTCATTCACCCTTATGTCCCCACGAGATCCCTCCGATCAGCCGACCAGCACCTCCTCCATGTCCCTAGCTCCTGCTGTAAACCCCGCGGGGAGCGCGCCTTTTCAGTTTGTGCGCAGCTCTGGAACCACTTGCCCCTCCTGATCAGACTCTCTTCCTCTCTTTCCCTTTTTAAGTCTCGTTTAAAAACTCACTTTTATTCTTTGGCTTTTAATTCAGTCTAACTTATTCTCTTTCTCCTGTTCTTTTGAATTTGTATTACTCGATTTTAATGGATTTAGTTTTTATTTTTGATTGTTTTTATTGTGTTTTTGTTCAGCACTTTGGTCGGCTCTCATGCCATGTTTAAATGTGCTATATAAATAAACTTGGTTTGGTTTGGGGGATTTTGGCAGGCTCAGCCAAAACTTTGAACCAACAGCTTATGGCAGCAGGGAACCATGGCCAGAAGGGATCAGGACAGTGTACCTGCGTGGCATCAAAACTTCCCACCAGGTCATCAGCCTAAGGCAGAGCCAATCCAGGACAGCTAACCCTTTGCTGTGAGCTGCCCCTAAGATGACGGCAGGCAGCTCCTTGAGTAGTGTACTCACTGCTGGGAGATTGGAAGAGCGTGGAAGTCTTGGAGAAGAGACGCCTGCTGTGGGAGGCTTATCAACCTCTGGAGTGTCCAAGAGTGATTTAGGGCTACATTTTAGCAAGCCTTATCATAATCATCATCGCATTCGATTAGGTGTCCGCTTTGTCCAGCAGATAATTCTCAGCCATCGGGAAGTCCTTTTCATTAGTGGAGGTGAAGAGATGGCCCATTCAAAGCCTTGCATACAAAAAGTAAGATTTTGAAATGAATCCTAAATCTAACGGGGAGGCAGTGTAGATCAGCAAGAATGGGTGTGATGTGCATGCGTTTGTCAGAATCGTTTAAGAATCTAGCCGGATGGATTTAAGTCAGGTGATGCGCCAGAGTTGACAAAAGCAAAAGTGGCGTTGACTTGCGTCATTGAGAGGTTGGAGTCAAGTTTCACTTCCAGGCTGGTGACGGAATTTGAGACTGAGTGAGAGGAGAGTGGGGACAAATAAAGCACAATTTGTGTCAGTGGCCTCATAATGGAGGGCTTCCATCAGTGTTGTACCTGAACGAGTTCATTGAACGTGAACTGAACTTGCTCGTATTTTCCCTAATGAATGTCAAAGTGAACACGTTCATTCTGGTGTTAGTGAATGGGAACACGAAAGCTCCAGATTTCCATGGCGCTAAAGCCGAGGCTAAAAACATCCAACTAGCCATATTTAAGAGTAGACCTCACAAATGTGGTCGCTGTAGGCAGTAGCAGTCGATGCGTTGTCCACTCTTCAATTTCTGTGCTGTTGACAACAGGCCTTATGGTGCTTTGCATTTATCTTAGAAGAAAAACAGCTACTTGATTTTAGATGCACCCTTACAAGCGTATCTTGTAAAATAAACACATTTTACACAGCTATTGTTACAAGGAGCAGCAAAATTGACCTGAAAGTTGGATTAACATTAGCATTCCCCGACTTCGGGGAGTGTTCCAGTTGATTTTTCCAACTCAGAAGATGGAATTTCTGAGTGTCAAATACAAATGGAAAACGCATCACTATTGTACGGGGCAACATCAAATTTGGAAAGACTAGCCACTAGGGGTTGTATGAACTAGTCGACTTCACTGCTCTGTAGTGATTTTTTTATGCCTGTCATCGACTAGTCGCTGTCACGTGATAATGACCGGCAAGATGCAGTCCACGGAAAAGACAGCAGCCTGCTGTCAGCAGGTGACAAGCTCCTGCGTGTCGGGAGGCAACGCGCTGTGCCAGAGCGTCGGTACTGACACCCGCCGTAAAACGGACATTTAACCAAATTGTGACCTTTACCCTCTTGCAATTTAACCTTCCCCTCATCCCCATCCTAACCTTAACCAGCTTGCGCACGCAAAGCTCTGATTGTTGACGTGCTCCAGACATCTGCGTCCTGAGCACGGCCACAGTAACATTATCAAATCAGGTGTCGCCACCTCAAAAACAAATTTAACATGCGATCGTTCATGTCGGCTCATTTCCTTTTATGTTTTCTGTCTTTTATTTGTGCCTGATGCGTTTCGCTGCTGTGGAGCAGGGCGCATCACCTTATCCTCCGGTGATGCACCTCACAGGTGCGGCCGGCGCACACCCCGCTGTTTTTGCGGTCGGTAGATCTTTTAGAACTGCAGTTGAAAGGTAACTCATGAGGTGAATATATATGAAACCATGTAGTAGCCTAGTTTCTCTTTAGGACTGAGAGGAGATGCAGGAAGATAATAAACAGAGACAGGACAGAAAAATGGTCAAATAAAAACAAGTTAGTTTTTGTACCTGGTGGTTACAACAAACAGACACCATTGAAGGTAATCAGAAGTGAGGAAATAAAATGAAATAATTATTTTAATGTTTAGAGCAGCAGGAACTCTGAGAGTCTGCAGGCGCATCAGTGAGTTTGCAGCAACTGCACAGGGGGAGGGGGAGAGGGCTGAAGCAGAAACTGCCGTTGTTAAAAGAAATGTGTTTAACTTTGAAAATGTGAAAAATTATTCACAAAATTTGAAAAGTGACTTAATTGAAAGGTAATGTTTAAATATTTTGCACTTTGAGGTACATCCTTGTTTTCTACCTCAGTCTGGTTCTTCACGCAGATGAATTAATAATTAATCTTTTTGAAAAAGCTGTTCACACAGCAAATTTTTCCTAATCTTATTGAAAATATAGTTTAGGGATAAAAGCTGCAGTTGGGTATGAGTGTGGACTGAACGGGTGGCAACAATTGGAAAATGCCAGTAATATGAGGGTAATAGCTCGCCGCATCATATTGAAATAAAAATAACTTATGAACTAAGTCTTTTTTAGAACTGTGAACGTAGTTCAGTAATTCTACTATGAACTATGAGATGAACAAGTTTGTTTTAAAATGTATGAACTGAACTTTGAATTGGTTCATTTTAAAAATGAACACTCTCCATGCTGGTTAAAGTTAACACTAACCCTCTAGGAAAAAAACAGGTATGACTCACTCTTTTCAAGTAGTGCCGTCAGCATCGTGTCCAGATTAGGCTTAAGCTCCTCTTCAGTCAGCTCAGTGCTCACAGTGATGGCCTTTAGCGCCTCACTGAGGGACTCTGCACAAACACACAAATAAACACCATCAATAAGGAGTAGCGTTTAACGTTTTTATTTAAAGGAGAAATAACAAGAAAATCCACTTTCTTAGCCCTTAAGTACAACAATACAAAAGCTGTAAATTTTAAGTCACTAGGTGTGCCAAAAATATTTAATTAGTTACTTAAGGTGGTATTTCGAAGTTTTTAGAATAAAGTTTTGGTCATAATTTTCAACCTGTTAAGTTTTCTCAATTTTCCATTTTGTTTAGTTCTCTATTCTGTCAAGATAATAATAATAATAATAATAATAATAATAATAATAATAATAATAATAATAATGCATTGAACTTATATAGCGCTTTTCTGGACACCCAAAGACGCTTTTCACACACTCTCACATTCACACACTGCTAGTGATGGTAAGCTACTTGTAGCCACAGCCGCCCTGGGGGGGGGGTCTGACAGAGGCGAGGCTGCCATTTGGCGCCGTCGGCCCCTCTGACCACCACTAACACAGGCAAGTTGGGTGAAGTGTCTTGCCCAAGGACACAGGATACAGCAGGATACCCCTGGCGGGAGCTAGAATTGAACCCATGACCCTCCGATCATGAGGCAACCCGCTCTACCACCTGCTCTACCACTACTGCTGCCCCAAGATAACTGCCAAATATGGTCATTGACATCCATCTCAACACAGAGCCAATGAGCCATTTTGTTCTTCTCGTTAAGATTTGTGTAGTCCATTTAGAAGAATACAGAATGTCTGGTTATTTGTGCCACACAGAACTCAAAACTGTCCCTCACTTTAAGGATGGGTGGTGTGGCAGTAGTTCCAATTTTCAGGCTAAAATTGCAGTTCCATCCTCATCCACTGGGGGCTGGCAGCAGAACTGAGGAAATCCTCAATGACTCCTATGTAAAACGGCTCATTTCACAGCAGAAATAAACATGTTTACAGCCTGCTGTTTATCCACATTCTGAATCACTTAATTTCCACTTCCTATTCCATAGATTCTCATATTGTTCCACCTGGACCGTGATTCTAAGTTGTCCAGCTTATCCATTATTATCTCATTCTCTCACTAGCTGTTGTGGTACTGTGTGAGCTTCAAAGCTCAGTGATTCTATTTCCTCAGCGCACGTCAAGGCAACATCACTTTTTTCATTTTGTTTGTTCATTTGAGCCATTATCTTGTCAAACTTCTTATGAATGTCATCTTTGGGT